GGACGCTCTTTGTTCGCCCCTCTATACCAGTTTGTTTGAATTTATTTAAACAGAACGTGTCATTCTCTTTGATGTTGAATTCGACCCTAAATTTAATTGGGATGTTTTTGCATATGCATTTTCTCCTGTCTGTTTAGATCACTGATGTAAATTTCAATCAGGTTTGAAAATGACTTTCCCAGCTGCGCCTAATGAAATGGAAATGACTTGAGGGGCTGGGGGGGGGCGGGGGGCGTTCCGCATTGTTAAGCAAGTGACCATGTTTATGCTTAGTGAAGGAAAAATCTGGGAACAGTCCAGTGCCTTGCAAAAGGAATTAAAAAAAAGAAAAGAAAGACCTTGCCAGAAAATCATTTTCGTGGTCTATACTCCCGAATTCCACCGAAGGTTTGCAGTCAAGCATGAAATAGTATTTCGGCCTCCGCTAACCAATCTATGAAAAAAAAATGCGCAGAGGGCAGAAGCACGCACTTGAAAGTTACCCGCGTATCGACAGTACATGTTATGATTCATCGGAATTTTCATTGTTTCAGGGTCGAATGTTTGCTTTCGCACATTTTTCTATATATTTTTTTTTTCCTGCGGGTGTGCTGTGATATTTTCCAGATCCCAACTCGCTTCTTCCTCCCTCGCCTCTTGCTCGAAGTAATCATGTAGCCGTTAGCACTCCCTATCATCCGAGGCCAAGCACACGCCGATCTTTATTTTTTTTGCGGGGGGGGGGGCAGTCGGGCCTTCGGCTTGTCTCAGGTCCAGAGGAGCTTGATCGATAGCCGCCCGCATTTGTAAGTCGCTAAGAGGAGCGTGGAAGGATATCTCATTCCACTGCTTCTCTCCAGGGACCGACAAAGGCAATTTTCTTCTCTCTCAATGTTTCCCAATGACCATATAGCATGACCTGAAACCAATCTCTGAAACCAAACTTGAGAAATAGACAGAAAGCACCAGCGTACAGCAGACAACAGTCTCCAACATGGATTGAAACCCGTCCGAGGCTGCCCCGGATCTCTTTCTGCATCACGCTTGTCATGCAGATGTTGAGCCACTAGAGGGTCGCTTAGCTAAGCCTGAATCAATATTTCAGTGACATCTGTTTTACAGCAACCCGGTTTTGTTTGCGGGTCCGTCAGGGGAGCAGCTTGGCGGGTGGGGGGGGACAGAACAACATGACTGCCATGAGTACCACGGTGGGGTGCGGCATGTTGGCGCAGGAATTGAAAGCGCAGGCCTGCTGCTGCCAGGCACAGATGCCGGCGGACGGCCTCTGAGCGGCACCCTGACACCCCTGCCGCTCTTGGTCTGGAGCGCCTGCCTACATTTAAAGTGTGAAATTAACCTTTTAGCTAGCTAGCGATGTTTGTCTCAGAATGAAGCATTCGCAATTTCCGCATCAGTTTATCCTATGTGTATTTTGGGCAAGGAATGTCAAGAGAAATCGTTGTAAAATGGGGGGTGGGGGGGGCGGAATTCCACTTTGGTGAGTGTGTGAAGGTCAAATGTGTTTGAGTAGACATTCCCGAGCACGCCAGCTCATTGGGTATCTCGCTCGGCGTTGGGCTGAAGGCTTGCGGGAGGTTTCGGACTTGCTGTGGAGCGAGAAAAGTCAGCAAAATTGCACTGAATCCCCAACTGTGTTTTGGGCGAGGAACCGTCGACGTTGTGGAAATAGAATTTCTCCTTGGGGATCCGTAAACAGATTCAAAAGAAAAGAAAAAAAAATAAAGATTTGTTCAGACAGTATTTTAGACTGCATATTTGCTAAATTGTTTTCATGGGTATTTTGAGTAAGAGGGGAAAAAAAAAAGAGCTCGATTTACTTCTGGTCTCAAGAAATTGCATTCACACAACCAAAGTCACGCTGTCGTTTTGTCCTTGGTTAAGAAATAAATGTGCACCTTCAGGGCCGACGGAGTCAGACTATTCATAAAACGAGCCACGTCATCGGCGTGAACGTGCTCCTAATGTGCGCCCAAACAGAATCACTCAGTCAAATATGGTAAATGAGACAAGGCTCGCCAATAGCGCCTGTCTTACGGCAACTCGCACACACAAAAAACAAAACACCAAAATCCTCAACTGCTGTTAAGATCAGATGAAGGCTTTATTGTGGCACTGGAGCAGTGAGGACGGTTTTACCCTGGCCCCCGCAGGGTCCAGGAGGTGGTGCACCAGAAACCAAGCAGAAAAGCAAAGCAACTACACAAGGCTTCGACACTCTCCCTCAAAGTGAGGTCAATACGCAACGTTTTGATGAAGACACAACTTTTTGTCTTCATCGACACATTCATGTGGCTGTCGGTCAATCAATTTGATATGTCGTGCTGAGTTAAAATGTCAAGCAGTGGTTTGTCGTCAGCTTCCATACATTTTCACGTCATATTTGTTTTGTTGTTGTCTATTTTGTTTGCGGTGATGTGTCCGCATGGAGTAGATTGTCATTTCACCCGATCGATCCGTCAAACGGGAGCACGCGGCCCGTTGGGGGTGGAGCCGCCTCCTCACTCCGCTTGCCGTGCACGTTTTGCCATGTACATGCGTTTTGTTCATATTAGGATCCACTTCTGCATCCGCGTCAGGACCAGCCACGAATGAATATTCACCGCGGAGCGGACGCTGGAGCACAGCGACGCATCAAGGCGATCGATCTTCACAAAACAAAACGCTTGATAGTTTACATTCCCCTACAGTGCCAACAGTGGAGTATTTTGGAATCGCCGTAAAGTGTTTCTTGAGGTCTGCCCGCGAGCACATTTGTTAGTCACGCATATCTTTGGTTATCGTGATAGGCAGCAGAGAGCCGTTGTGCGCGTGAGCAAGCCGAATTTGCGCTCGTTTGTCAGCGTGCATTTCTGCTTGTTTCCAAACGGCAACAGAAGCTAGCGCAGATGATTCGACTTTCTATTGTCTTGACTTCCATCCCCCCATTTTCTGTCACTTGCGTGAGCCTCCTTGAGCAAGAGGCGGGGTACCCCATGGAGTGGTTGCCAGCCACTCGCAGTTTCCCCCCCGACAGATCCATCATAGCCTCCAACCATAAGAAGATCCTCGCGGAACACCAGCTCCCATTGCAGCACAGCCTTTTGACTCTTTCTGTATGAAGTCGCGGGCGGAGTTCTTCGAGCTTCGGCGTCAACTCCAGACATAGATCCATTCTTTTGCGCTTCCAGTAGACTTTCCTTTAATTGCGTAGCCTACATAGTTGTTGCGCTTGAGTTTTCTGGGTGAATTTTGTGCAAAAAAACCCCCAAAAAGAGCCTCTCATTGAACTCAACTTTTGACACAGCAGCACCTGCATGCTGAAGTGAAAGCGAGAGGAGGAGGGAGCTTTTTGAACAGGCCTGCTGGAATTTGGATCTGATAGCTAAGCCTTTGTTTTGGCTTTGAATTACTCTCAAGCCTGAAATGGCTGCCTGCTGCTTTTGAAATCCTGCCAGCACAAATTTGAGTGTTATTGTGGAGGGCGGAAGAATTTTGAGCATACAAAATGCGTTGCCCTGTTTGCAAAACTTTGCGGCCCGGCCAATCGTGGGTCGACGCCGTCCCCGCAAATCAGTCAAGCAGAGGTTGAAAGACGCGCCAGCCAGCCAGAGCCCCGGTTCGTGAGACCCAAGGCAGACGAGACCCCGGCCTCGTCCACAGATAACTGCAGGGCATGTGTGATAAATGGACATTTTTTTTTCTCACTTCACAGGCTTTCCAATTAAAAGCGTTCCCGACTGAAGTTTAATCACAGCGGAATTTGACAACAAAAGCGGCTACTCAAGCTCAGCCCGTTACAAAGGCGACAGCGAATGAAGTAATGGAGCGTAGCGGGTGGTTAAGACTGCAGCCGGAGAGAATGCCATTAAAGACAGCTGCTGTTGTCGCCGTGACTTAACGCCGCCTTTAATCATCGGCAACATGGTTTCATTCGGCTTGCGCGCGTGCGTCGCGGCAAAGGCGTGCCGCCCGGTTCGCCAGGTACACCCCTCGGGACGCCCCGAGTGCCACTGATGACTTCAAAAGCAGCTGGAGCAAAAGTCAAATCTCCCAAAGTGTTGAATGATGCTCACTTTCATCCCCGGTGAAAGCGACTTCCAACGGGAGCATATTTAAAACGTGCGAGAGCACGGTTGAGCCATTCAGAGGGTCCGACCGCTTCATTTTTCCGTGTATTGAAGTGCCGAACGCCAGTGACGCCGTTGGCTTTTCTCTCTTTTCTCGACGCCGCTAGTTTTGTTCATGTGGTGAAACTCCATCATGACAGATTGCCCGCATTCCCCCACGCTTGTCGTGTAAATGCCGAAGGTTGACTGATTGTCAAGTGATGACTGTCCACATTACCGGGTGCCGTTTCCCTGAACAACGTGAGTAAGAGCGCGGCTTGAATAAATCGTACCGGCAGGCGCATTCTTGTCTGCTGACAACCCTCGAGCGAGTACGTTACACACGCCGATGACAATGTCATGTGCTTTCACACAGAAAATCCCGTTTATTCAGTTGTAGTCCGAGTGGATTTGACGAGTCCCCTGTGTTCAGTTGCAACCTTTTCTGAAGTCACCGTCGGAGCAACGCGTTTGAATGATATGGACAAACGCTACATTTGATCCAGCCTTTCAATGGTGACGTGTCTTGGTCAAAGTTTGCTCAGGGTGTGATTCACTTGCATCTGATTGAACATTTACACGCAACTCATATTTGGTTCAACACACTTTGCATTGACAAAGGCAGTCCCGGATCCGGTCGGTCGAGGCTTATTTTTTGTTGTTTTGGAAACGGCGCCGTTCAAAAGGTTTGCTACTTTGAAATGTCTTTTTATTGCTTTTGCTTTCTGCACTTGTAGACTTTCAACGGTGCGTTTTCATTGCCAAAAAAAAAAACACCACTTTTCCTTCTTTTTCACACGCGTAACATAATGACATCACACGGTGGACAGGAAATGACCGAGCACTTGTTACACTATCATCCGCCCAACAGAGCCTGACAAGTTTCCAGCGCGTCAACTCGCGTCAAGTCAAACCGCCCCCCCCACCCGGGCCCCATCCCGCTTCCAAACTTCCAAACGCTCGCTGCGGATCAGGCTGCCTGCCGTCGGCCAGCTGGAGGCATGCTTCCCCGCGAGCTTTTGTGCGCCTTTCGGCTGTTCTGCGTCTGCCTTTTGGGGACCCGCGGCGCGGCCGCGCAAGGTAAGACGACGCACCGCAAGACGAGACTTGTCAGCGCGCGAGTTAGTGAGCCCACTTTGACGGCCGGTCATTGTTCCAAAGTTCACTTCCACACACACTCGCTGGGCCGCCTTCCGCGAACGGCTTTGACTTGCAAGGAAGTCGTGCGGCCGTTGCGGCTTCATGTCAGCTCACGCGCATCCCAAATTTAAAAAAAAAACAGCTAATCTGTGGTTTTACATCAGCGGCGAGCAAAAGTATAGCCCGCGGGTCAGACGAGAGAGAGATTTAATCAGGGGTGTCCAAACTTTCTCCTTCGAGGGTCGTCCACAGAAAAATGGAAGGGTGACACTTAATCAACAGCCACACCGTATTTCAGATTTGACACCAACTGGTTTTGTGGTTTGCTCCGGACCATGTCTGAGAATCGGTCGAAATGTCGATGGCTGTTTTCCAAAGGAAAATCATCTCTTTTCAGATTATTTTGATCACGAGTTTGCTTTGTTTGTCGGACTCCCGAAATTGCACAATAGTTATCGTTGAGAGGCTGAAAAATAGTCGTCGATTCATTTCATCATCCGTAACTTGTTGATGCACCGCTTACACCTCACCTGCCCCAGTTCCTTTTTACATTAAAAAAAAAAAAAAGACAAACCATTGCTTATCATTTGGTGAAACGAATGAATCCATGTCGAATTGTTTATTATATCCATTTTTCTCCCACGGCATAAAATTCAAGATGAAACACTTTGCTTTGTACTCCTTGCTCTCCACCAACTTGTTTTTATGGGCAGCCGTCAACCGTGCTGCTGTTTGCGTCGGTTGTGTTGCTCCTCAGATGCTAATCTGCGCTCTCGCGGGACCTACGTGGAGCCTCGATGGACTCGGCTCGCCGTCCCACTGTGGCGTTGCGTCCCGTTTCGTCGAGACATCGAATTGGAAGTCTCGGGCCGCACTTGTCATATATTCACTCGTTATTTGCGACAAGCAGTCAAATGAAATCATCAGACATAAATAAGCTTCACCGCTCTTTTGCCTTTGCTTCTTGTTTTCATCCCCTGACGCAAAATTGTCATTACCACTCCTTGTATACAAGAATAATTAAATCATCGAGTACATATGCTCGCGTGCCTGGCCGATGTTTGCGTTTTGCTTGCCCACGCAAAAAGTGCCGTTTTCATGAAATGCGATCCGAGCTTTGGCGCTCGGAGCGATGCGTGTTGGAGCTTTTCCGCGGTTGTCATTGGGTGTGACGGCTCGTATTGTTCGCCGGATGATTAACGACGGCATGCGATATCAGGCAAACGCTTCTCTTGCGTTCGCACGCGCAATCGCAGTTGAGGCCGACGTCGTGCGGGCATTCCTTTGCCGCGGCTGGTTGACTTTTGCCCGTCTCAAAATTCAGATACCGCGCGTGGGATCCGAATCACAATGTGTATCCTCGCCATGCTGTCGAAAGCTAATTCGCCTCGAAATGTGTTATTTATGTCATGGATGGGTGGTGTCCTGAGTTTGGGAAATGACTCCGTTGAGGACATCGCAGTCTCATGTTGATATTTGTTGGGGGCTTTCGGCCTGCACCCTCCAGCTCGTGTCCCCTGCCTGAAGCTCCCCAAAAAGCTGATGCCAATCCAACAAAGTCCTTGGCGAAAGGTGCTGTGCCCTAGTGGGCCGCTGGAGTCCAACCAAAATCTTCTTTTTATTTTATTTATTTTTTTACATTTGTACCGTTGACTTAAACTGTTTAGAAAGGAATGAAAAAAAAATGTTAAATGACTCTACAATGATCTCTGTTGTCAGCGGCGGTGCTTTAAAACTGTCAATTTAAAAGCAATGGAGAGGAAAAAAAAAAAATGTTGCCGGTCCGCGAACAGCACGGACTTGTCTCAACTGGTCCGTGACACACAAAAGGGTTGCGGGCCACTCAAGTTGTCACGACTATTTTTATTTTATTTATTTTCCTCCCGTTTTGTTCTGCGTATGGATCAAGAGCTTGCCAAACCTTGCGGATATCTTGGCTCCACGTTTCTTTCTGCCTGTTTGAACACGGCCGGTGAAATTAGAGCGCGGCGACTCGGCTTCCAATCAGATATCTTGGGCGCCACGCCCTAAACTTTTCTTCGTATGACACCAGAAAATCATCCTTGGAGCTAAATTCAGACAATATCATTTAGCGTACTGTGCTGAAATTTTTTTGGGGGGCGGGGCCATGATTGAACCTCATCGAACACGGATGGTCAGGAGGCAATTTTTGGAATTGACTGCAACAGCCACAGTCAAACAGATGATTAAAAAGGAACGTCTGTGACTAAAACATTTTCCAGTAGTTTGCGTGATGAATGAGTAAAGAACATGTTTTGGAAGCACAGCCATTCAAAATATGACAACACATTTTCCTAGACTGTATTATTTATTCATCGCATTCAGCACACAGGTGTATCAGCAGAGCGGCTGCAGGGAAATTGGTTATGGGCATGAAATTTGTTCTTCGGGCTCTGGATCAAAGGCTGGCTGCGTGGCAAGACGCGGCGGATAAGAGCCCCGCGGGGGGAGATCGCGCGTCCGCTCAGGCTTGTCGCAGCGAGAGAGAGACGGCAAGCGAGCAAAAAGAAACGCTTTGGGGGTGTCGACCAATCTTTCGGTGCCGAAATATTCACGGGGATGCAAAATAGATGTGAGATGCGTGGGCCGTCATTGAAGCTGGTTGTGACCACGACCACAGCAGCGCAGTCTCCCCTTCTCTCACATGCGCCCGGCGTTGCGCTTGCCTGCGAAATTACCGACGCCGGGGTATAACGCCGCACAAGATTTATGTCGTTCACGAGAACAGAGGCCAAAGTCTCAGTTTGCTATCCTAAATTGCCCTGCCTTTGGCAAACATTTTTCTGAGAGATGCTTTTCTCCACAAAGCCCCACCGCCAAAACTGACCAATGGACTGTGCCCTTACGATTCATTCCACTCGAATTTGTTGGTGAAAGTAGCCGCATCTTTACTAAACCTGTGTGTGGCTATCCTAAATTGCCCTGCCTTTGGCAAACATTTTCTGAGAGATGCTTTTCTCCACAAAACCCCACGGCCAAAACTGACCAATGGACCGTGCCCTTACGATTCATTCCACTCGAACTTGCTGGTGAAAGTAGCCGCATATTTCTCTCTCTCTCTTTCTCTCTCTCTTTTTTTCTTTTCACCCTGCTTAACTGAAATAAGAATCCCTTATTTGTTCAGCGTCGCCCTTTCAGGAAGTGCTGAACGTCATCGGATACTCAACGGGTGAATGATAACAGTTCGTCCCAGTTTCTCTGGAAGTGGGCAAACGAACAATGGCATCACTTGAGTATTTTGCTCAATTTGAACTCTTGTCACCACAGTAGTTACTTGATGTCTTCGATATGTCGTCAGTGTTTGTTGTCAAAAGTAGCTGCGCAGTGGGAATAAAACGCGCGTGTACGCTGTATGCGCCGATGCGCGGATAGTCATGTTTCCGTTCAACGAATGCCGCATTCAAATGATCAGGATCTCGATCAGGCTTCTTCATTTGCATGTGTTTGTGTGCGTGTAAATTTTTTTTTAAAAACTGCATATACCAGAGAGAAACCCTGTTAAAGAAGAGATATATGGAAGAAAAGATGACCTATTGCCTTCAGGGCAACACACTGTGAGACCCCACAAAGAAGAAAACT